TGGAGGAGCTGTATGATGTTCCACGTGTGGGACTCCATGTCCTCCAAATCCATCAGCCCAGGAGGCGCTGGATTCTCACCTAGTTCCAGCGACAGACACAAGCATCTTTTCTAGTTTTCACTGGCTGGGGAGGTGTCACAGGTGGTTCCTACCTAGGAGAGTAAGAGAAAGTCCCCATTTTTGGAGTACATTGCATCTGTGCTAGATTGATCAAGGATGTGTCAGTTCTATGTGCCACCAAGTCATCAGAGTCACTGCATAGTCACCTCCTACATTGATCTTGTCATTATCATGTATTACTACCCTTGGCACCTGTATCAACAACATCCTTCTTGGAAAATGCTCACAATCATCTGATTAGTCAAATAAATTCCTTTTGGATTTTTGCTTGTTTCAGTCTATGTACATCATGAATCTTCCCACATGAAGGCAGGCTGCAGTTGGATATTGTCTGAGGTCAATATGGAGAAAAATCATCTGCAAGATCAATCACTGAGGACTCATGTCCTTGGCTTGTCATCAGCTTAGTCTGCTGATGCTGTCACAGTGAGCTCTGATGCCACACAGTGTTGCTCATTCCACCCTCAGTGATCTCTGAGTCATCACAAGGCTCCTGGATTTTCAATAGTCATCAACAGACTAAAACACAGGGGATATTAGGAAACAGCTTTGCAGTTTGTAGTATGACATTAATGGGATCCTCCCTCATGTTCACTGAGTGCCCAGTGCTGTTTCCAGTAAGCACATGAGGGGGCTCTACTGGAATCATTTCCTGAGAAGAGCAAATCTGCATGCCCTCTTCTTTACACAGCATAGCTAATGGTCCTCCAGAGAGACAAACAAAAATGCCATATGCATGTTTACATTTGCATTTACATTTGCATTTACATTTACATTTACATTTACATTTACAAGGAGTTGATGCTCATATTCTGGATAGTGAGACCTCCCAAATTTGGATTAGCTGCCGTGACTGGCAGCAGACACAGGAGAGCTGCTGTCATACCTCAGCCTGATTTAAAGGCTGAGTACCAGGTTGTACAGTACAGGTGAAGACCCGTGCCCCAGCTCCAGTGTCCAGCACATGGGTAGGAAGGGCTTAGTGTTCCCTCCTTCACTGTTTGTTCCAGTCAGTCATTCAGTGGAATAGAGGGTGCCCAGACACACTGAGAACAATCTGCTTTACTGCACCAGCAATTCAAAGTTAAGTTCACGAAGACCCAGGGATGGCTTTCCAGGAAATGTTTTGGCACCTTGTCATCTACTTAAACTATCACAAAACTCAACAGACATAACAGAGATATTTAGGGGAAGAGTTTCTCAGATTCTTGTAATATGAGTCTGTTCAATATATGTATATGGAGAAGCAACCACTTTAGATGAATCATGGTGATCCCTTTGTTAGGTATCTACATATTGAATATGAGATGGAGAGGGAGCTCTTGGGCCAGAGATGAAAATAAGACTTAATCTCCGTGTGCATTGCTCCAGAAACACTCCTGTGTCCTGAGTGCCCTATGCAGTCCAGCCTCCCTGTACCCCACAGGTACGTTTGTGTCAGGTCTCATGCTAACTCCCCCTCACTGTGCATGTCACACAGTAATGCATGGCCATGTCCTCAGGTCTCAGGATGTTCACTTGCAGGTAGAGCTTGTTCTTCACATGGACTCTGGAGGTGGTGAATCGGCCTTTCACAGAGTCGGCATAGTATGTAGTATTTCCACTAGTGTTGATTCTACAAACCCACTCCAGCCCCTTCCACCATGCTGACAGACACAGCTCATATTGTATCTACTGAAGATGAATCCAGTGGTTGTGCAACAGAAGCTTAGGGACCCACCCAGGCTGCATCAAACCTTCTCCAGACCCCACCATCACAGTGAACACCAACAATCACAAAGATGGCAGATCAGGAAACTGTCCCTCATTCCCTGTTTCTCTCAGTCATGTCCACTCATACATTCAGTGCCTCCTTATTCATAAATTAGCTCTTAAAATAGCAACAAGAAAAACCCAGATGAGCCCAGATTCCATGGTGAGTGGTCTGTGTTCTGTCCTGAGTGGAGAGTGGGATTACCTAATAATCCTGTGATGGGCTCCTGTCTCAAAGCAGCAGGGTCATGGGTGGGTTAACCTGGACAACATGCAAGTAGGCTCCATCTTTTCATGAGCAGACTGGCCCTATTTGCATGTCCTCCTACTGTATACGGAGCTCTGGGTTTGGGCACTGACATGAGGAACATGTTCCCATAGTGTGAGTTGTCCAAAAGCACATGCCTGGTAACAATTGCTCCCATGTCTTGGCCACTTTGACTCAGTTGGTTGGAGTGTTGTTCTGTAACCAAAGTTTGGAGTTTTGATCCCAGGTCTGGGTGTGTGTAATCCTCTCTCTGGGCATTAGAATGTACTGGGCCATGGAGAACCCAAGCCACTGATGTGCTGGACCAAACAATGTGTGCATTGCCAACTGAGTACCTGACCATGAGTGTCTTATTATGGGAATCACCTGGGGTGTAGCCTCTGGCATCCTTCTGGAAACTAGTTGAATCCTCACTACTATTCCCCTCTGCCTTGAGTTTTTCCTAGAAACAAGGACCATAAATCTCCCAGAATTTCATCCTGGCTGATGTGGCTCACTGGGTTGAGTGCTGGCTTGAGAACCAAGAGGTTGCCAATTCCATTCCCAGTCAGGGCAAATGCCTGGGTTGTGGGTGAGACCCCCAGTTGGGGGCATGTGAGGGGCAACTGATCAATGTATCTGTCACACAGGATGTTTTTCTCCCTCTCTTTCTTCCTCTCTTTCCCTTTCTCTGAAAATAAATGAATTTATTCTCTGAAATAAAATAAAATAAAATAAAAAATACCTCCTAGACTTTGTGTTGCCCAAGTAGCCATCCCTGCCCAGGGGACATTGTCATTCAAATGCCTATATACTGGACATCTGGGACAGATCCGCAGGGTGACTCACCCTGCCCAGGGGTCTGCTACACACCCTTAAAATAACCTTCACTTACTGACATTTTTACTCCTTTCAAATTTGGATGCCTGTTATTTCTTTTTCTTGTAGGAAATTTGTTATTAAATCTTCCAGTACTATGTTGAATAAGAATGACAAAAGCATGCCCTGGTTGGTGTGGCTTGGTGGATTGAGTGATGGCTTGCAAAATGACAGGATGCTGGTTCAATTCCCAGTCAGGGCACATGCCTGGGTTGCAGGCCAGGTCCCCAGTTGGGGGCATGTGAGAGGACACAAACCAATGTTTGCTTCATATGTCCTCATTTCTCTCCTTTTCTTTCTTCCTCCCTTATTCTCTGTCAAAAACATAAATACATAAAATATATTTTTTAAAAAAAGTTGAAAAATTGGACAACCTTGTCTCATTCCTGATCTTAAGGGGAGACCTTTTAGTTTTTGCCCATTGAATGTGGTGTTGGTTGTTGTTTCCTTGTATATGGCCCTTTTTATGCCATATACATGTTCATAGTTTTGATATTTTTCCCACGTCAATAAATCCCTTTAACCTTTCATGTAATATTGGCTTGATAATGATGATATTCTTTAGCTTCACCTTGTCTGGGAAGAATTTTATCTGCCCTTCAATTCTAAATGGTAGGTTTTATAGATAGAGTAATCTATGTTGTAGGCCCTTGCTATTGATCACTTTGAATACTTCTTGGGTAGCCTTTGCTATGTAAAGGAATTCTTACTCTGTTCCCATTTTGCTGAGTTTTTAAAAACATATTTTATGTATTTATTTTTAGACAGAGGAGGATGGAGAGAGAAAGAGGGATAGAGACATCAATGTATGGTTGCCTCCTGTGTGCTCCCTACTAGGGACCTGGCCCCCAAACCAGGCATGTGCCCTGGCTAGGAATCAAACATGTGACTCTTTTGTCCACAGGCTGGTGATCAATCCACTGAAATACACCAGCCAGGGTTTGATGAGCGTTTTTACCAGGAATGGGAGCTGGACTTTATCAAATGGTTTTTCAGCATCTATTGATAAGATCATGAGACTTGTGAATTTCATTTTGATTATGTGGTGTATTATATTTTAATCATGCTGTTTTTCAGACATAAAAGACTTGAATTTTTCCTAAAACATGTTGGTAAGTTGTATTTTAAAAAGAAATATTGAGGCATTTATATGTCCTCTGTTTTGGTCCCTCTGGAATTTAGACAATATTAATTAATATATATTATTGTTTTCATGGCAATATATTAGTTTGAATAAATCAAGCAGGAACCTGATTTATGAAAACAGGACACATAAAGCCATTTTCCAATTATGGTTCTATTAACCAAGTATTTGACTGAAATGCCATGTCTGAGAGACCTGCCTAAGCTCTCAATGTCAGCAAAAGCTTTAAGGACTATGGGATGACTTCTAAGACAATGAAAGCTTCTTGGAGAAATGACCTGGTATCTTGCTTATTCAATAGGTTCATGACAGTCTATCCAGGAAAGGAGTGAGGGTTTCTCTCCTGGGAGATGGCAGGGGATAGTTCAGGACATTTTGGAAGATTCAAGAACTTAAGGAACTCACCCAAAGTTACAGGCTCTGCAGGAAAAACCTAATAGCAACCATGTATGTGGCTTGACTTCACTGCTTTATGGGGCTGATTAAATCTCATCTTGGCAATTTCTTATAAAAGCCCAGCAAAGCACATTTAATACACATTGCATAATTGATTTCTATTCCTGCTATGTTTAAGCAAATAATCAGGGCCTATTGAGACTGAACTTAACTGTGAATTAATTTGTCTTAATTTGGCTTTTTGATTAAAATGACTATGATTCTAAGTAGATAAAATATGTTTCAATACACTCTGTACTACACAATTGTGGACAATAAACTAGTTCAGTGAATTGCCTTTAATTTTTGTAACTTTAAACATATGTAGACACTACTTTTTCTGGATTCTTCAATAATATTGAGATTACACAATTTGACTCCTACATCCCAAAGCCCTACTCCTACTCAGGGAGCACCAGTTACAGGCACCATCTGCACCTTCATCCGTGACCTGGCCTCATCTCCCCTCTGACTGAGAGCAAGGTGCTCTTGGCTCTGAAGGACAATGGCATCACATTTCAGCAGGAAGTAGTTGCAGTTGTAGGAATCATCCAGTGCCATTATTCCCTAAAAGGATTCAGAAGCAAAATCCGTGAGCAGAAAATAGTATAAGCAATAAGACAAAATCACAGCAAGAATGAAAGGTCAGGAATGGTAACAGAAAAAAAAAAAACAATGATAGGTCAGGTATCAATGACCACCAAGACAGACATCTCAGTTTTCTGACAGCAGGCATGTGAAGACAAGTGAGTAAAAAGTTGCACATAGGCAGATGCTGAACAGGCAAGTTGACTAGGATAATGGATGTGAGGGCCCAGAGGCTTCTGTAGACACACCCCAAACCATCATTATTTCTGTACAGGATCCAGAGATACACTTGGCATCCATGAACTATGTATCAAACACCAAAATTACTAAAACAACCCAGTCTTGGTCATAGGGGCAACAAGACAAATACAGGGGCAAGCATATCTAAAACCATTGAAATGCCAACTCAGAGATTATAGTTATCAAACTACTTTCTCTACTGCCATGAATGCCCCATCCTTCTGCTGGAACTGGTCTTGTTCTGTAAATTGCCAAACCTAGAAACATTTTCCCTTAAAAGGGAACAGCTTTCTCTCAGGCCCCACTGGATTATGCCCTACAACTCCAGATTCCATTATCCTGTTCAGGGGCATAGAGTGGAGACCTGTTCTCTCCGGAAATCTACAAGCAAGTACGTAAAATGGTTTGGGTACTTTGGACTACAGTGTGATCAATCAACACTCACCTAAATGGGCTGAGATTTCCCTGGTGAAATGCCAGACAGTGAATATTTCTATCATGTACTATATTACCCTGGTGGGGACCAGCTGCACATAAGTTAGTGCTTCAGAATCTCTCCACAATTTAAACCACTATAGCTAATAAAATGGACAACTAACTTTCTAATATTCAGAAATCTCCACACTCTATAGCTGGAGTTGTCTTACATAATTTGTCTTACTAAGTTGTCTTAGGCTACATACTAGCAGAAAAAGCAGGAGTTTCCATAACAGTGAACCCCTCTTGTTGTTCTTACATTGACACCTCAGCTCAGATGGAAACAAGCATCCCCTAAATCAAGCAGCAGGCTGCCTGATGCAAACAAAATGTGAAACATCACACTCCTCTCCTTGAGAAACCTGGAAATTGGATTAATCTACTTTCACAAATTCCACGTGGACTAACCTCCATATTAGGAGGAATTTTGAATTTAAGTTTAACCGTTCTTTTCCTTTTAATGAGTGTCTTTTTGTTTTGAAGCTCTTTATGACTTGTCTTCCCCATGCAAGGAAAAGAGAATATGCTCAAAAGCCACCTCTAAAAATGTATCTTCTTTTAACTAATGAGACTTTGGTTTACAATAGGCTCAGGATTTTCATTCCCCAGAAGAATCAGAGAACATCACTGTCTTCATAGATATGGAGAAATAGTTGACAGCAGTGATAAATAGGACATGAAAACTTTATACTGCTGTGACTTTCCACTAAATGGAATTAGAATAAGATGCACTAAGAAACTTGTAAAATTCATACTGATGGTTTCTTTGTAAGCAAATTGCAAGCACCAGCATTTCCAGTCTGGCTTGTAGAAGAAATGGCCTTGACCATGTTTCAGGGTGACACAGATCTCTAAACTACAGGACACTGGCTGGCACCAAACAGCTCCAGGATTCTGACAGTAAAGGCCCATGTTTGGTCTAACAGGTCACTGCCAGTACATCCACAGTCTCCCATGCTCTCTTCATTGTCCTTGTCTTTCTCCCCCTTTACAAAATCCCCTCCCTGCACTGAAATTTTAACATGGCCTCTGAGTAGAGAATCACTCATCTTCCAGCTTGCCAGCCCCTGAATAAAACCTCTCTTCTTTACATCAACACCTTTATCTTGAGTATTTCCATTTGAAGTGACAGACAGCTGAACCTGCATTTGGTTACACCAGGTTGGTGCCTTCTGGAGAGGACCCTCTTTTTGGTTGACATAAGGCAGATTCTTCCTGGGTCTTCACATTGTGGAAAGCTGAGTCAGCTCTCTGAGCTCATTGACAAAGGCACTAACTCCCTTCCTGGGGCACTCTCATGACCTAAGCATCTCTCAAAATCTCACCTCTTAATAACGATCCTCGTTGACGATCAGAACTTCAACATATGAATTTGGGGTGATAGTTGTTTTCAGGTCACAGCACTGTGGTAGAGCCTCTGGAGGCTCTACCAAGTGGTCCTGACACCACCTTGATCTTTGTTCAGTGAAGGGATTAAATGTACCAACCTCCAGACTGCATAGATTGTAACACAAACATGGAATAATTGATTCAGTTGCCATAGGAACATAGTACAGACTGAATGAAGATCTCCCACTGTCAAGGTTGTCTCTCCCCTGATATCTGATTTTTATGACATACATCAGCACTGCTTAAGAACAGGGTCACTTGCAGGGTTGTGATCTCAGGTGAGGAGTTTTCTTTGGATCTCATCCTCAGGAAGGATTGGAAGGACACTGTCATGGCATAGACTTTGCTGGAACCTGGAATATTTGTCAACCCTCAAATTTACTTCCAAAATGTCATCTCTGTGGTGCTGGGCCACAGTCAAGGACATGAAAAAATCATCTTTGGTTTCCATGTGCTTACATTTCCTCAAGTACAATTGTATTTATTAGAAATAGGGGTTGTTGTAGAATGGGCTAGGTACTACAGTCCAAATCCCAAAATCTGATCCAGACCAGTGATTTCCTGATGGGGTCTTGATGAATAGTTTTCATTTAGAGAATGAGGAGGTTCTGAAGTGCCCTGCAGAATCACACTGAATGAGAGGGCCCCTCTCAGAAGCATTTCTCCCTGCCTCTTTCCCTCAGTGTATCTGGTGTCTGGAACCTTCTCTGAGTTCCTGATGTGCCCCTGGCAGCATCAGCCCTCCTCTCAGGTTCCTGATTGTGTGTGAGGAAGTCAGCAGGCTCATCACCCTGTCCTTTTTCCAGACCAGCCCAGCTGTCCCACCCTTCAAGGTTTTTGACACACTCAGGAAGTGCGTTGTCACACTGTGTCTCTCGCACAGTAATACACAGCTGTGTCCTCAGACTTCAGGCCATTGATCTGCATATAGGCAGTGCTGACAGAGACATCCATGGAGAACACAAAGCGTTCTGAGAAGCCCTGAGCATATGTGGGTTTCCCAGTGTTTGTATTGATCCAGCCCACATATTGCAGAGCTCCTGCTGGGGCCTGCCGTACCCAGTTCATCGCATTACTAGTGAAGGTGTATCCAGAAGCCTTGCAGGAGACCTTCACTGAGGCCCCAGGCTTCCTCACCTCAGCCCCAGACTGCACCAGCTGCACCTGGCTGTGGACACCTGTGGAGAGGAGACATCAATGAGTGGATATCCTCCTTGGCCATCCCTGTTCCCTTCCTCAACCCAGGGACTTAGGAACCCCTTGCCTGTAGCCACTGCCACCAGGAAGAGGACTCTCCAGCTCCAGTCCATGGTGAGGGGCTGTGCTGTCAGGACTTCTGTAGGGGAGGGTGTGGCTGGGATAGATGCTCTCAGGGCACAGACAGACCCACATTTAACCTAGTCTACTTTTTCTCATTTGCATATTCTTGAGGCAGTTATACAATATTTGCATATTTGTCTCCACCTGAGAGATGATAGAAGACACAGGGACCACATTTAAAGGGAATCAGAGGGACAATGTGTTCCCTGCCCAGTCCCTGAGCTCTGTGCTGACATTGCTCCTCCCACTGAGAAACAGTCCCACACAGGACATGCTCCTCATTGTGAACCACCTTTGGATTACCCACAGACCATTTGGACCTGTTCTGGCCTTCATACATGAATGTCTTATTGCTGGATCAGTGTGTGTCTCCAAAATGCTGCATTAGTGTGTTAATAAAGCCACCCTTATTTTCTATTTCTTACTACTCATGTATAAAGAAGCCTTAGAAATACCCTGTTACTGTAGTTGTCATATATTATTGAGTTTGGTAAATGCTGATATAATAGGATCTTTACAGTCACCATACCCACCTCTTACTTTAGATGTTTCTATGGAAAGAGGAAGACCCAGGCCCTCACAGGAAATACCCCCAGCTCTCTTTTCACCTGCTCCTGGGGCAGCAGCTCTGAGCCTGTAAGTCCCATGCACCCCCTGTGGCACAGCCTGTTCTTTGGGGAGGGTCAAGTCTTGGCTCACATGGCATGAACCTCTCAAGTCTGATCTCCAGTCTGGAATGAAGGTCTGTGCCCTGACTTCAGGATGTTCCCTTAAGGACACCAGTGCTTCAATGAGAAGTGGCCTTATTAAACCCCAGTAATTCTGCAGGGATTCCTGGCCCATATTCTATGAAGCCACCCAGGAACCCTTCCCTGCTGATGCCAGATGCACTAACACAGCTAACATCACTATCCTCAGAAGCTCGCAGGGACATTGGGGGCCTCTAAGCTGCTCATGTTCCTCTGTTTTAAATTTCTATCTGAGGATCCATGCATGTGACCCTAACCCACTGCACTTCTAATTCTCAATAAGTCGCACACAGACACACAGAGACACATGGGACCAGATGAGTTTCAAGGAAATGCACTGCAGGCCTCCCTTCTCCCTTGTGTTTAGCACATGGGCAGTGAACCCACATGAATTCTAGGCCTGGGTGTGACTTTCTAGGTGAGTGCGATCTTTTCTTTAAGGGTCACACTGATATTTTGTCAATTATTGATATTGCAGTCTGATGGTTATCTTCTCTTCTGACCTCCTGACTCTTGGAACTCAGATCCCAGAATCCTGCATTCAGGCTGATTATTCAATGCACAGGGGCCCATAGCTGCCTCTGAGACTCACTGCAGGAGCCACCATTTCCTCCTGCACTGGGTTCTCGGTTCAGCCCTAATGGACATTCCTGCACTGATCAAGGCCTCACTGGTTAGTAATCACATACCACTGTCATTACTCAGGCTTCCTTTCCAAAGTGGTTTTGTCTAGGGCTGGCCATGGGTAAGCTTAGGTGATGTTTCCATGTGGGCTCTGAGTTCTCTAAAACCAGCAGCTCAGCAAGCACTGAGTTCTCCCTTCATCCCAGGGACATCCAAGAACCTCTTCTTTCAGTTCTCTCTGTCTGAGTAATGTCACAAGTGTATCCCACAGAGAACCCTGAAAAGCTCCCATTTTCTTAGGACCTTGGATCAGTGGTGGATTAACAAGCAGGTTTCAGTTATGTGTGCCACCACCTCACTTAAGTCACTGCATATTTACCCTCCAGGTCGATCTTGGTGTCCTAATGTATTTTCACATTGGAACCTGCATCAAGAAAGCATTCTTTATTTTTTTTTATTTTTTTTAAATTGTATTTATTTATTTTTAGAGAGGGAAGGGAGGGAGATAGAGAGAGAGAGAGAGAGAGAGAGAAACATCAATGTGCGGTTGCTGGGGGTTATGGCCTGCAACCCAGGCATGTACCCTGGCTGGGAATCGAACCTGGGACACTTTGGTTCCCAGCCCGCGCTCAATCCACTGAGCTAAGCCAGCCAGGGCAAAGCATTCTTTCTAAGAAAATATTAACAGTACTCTTATGAGTGGAATCAATATTTATCATTTCAGTAAATGTTCATCATGAGCTTTTCCACATGAAGGAAATTTGCAGTTTGCTATTGAGCAAAATCAAGTTGGAGAAAAATCACTTGCAGGATTAATCACTGAGTACCCAAACCCTGTGTTGTGTCATCAGCTTTAGCTGCTGAAGCTGTCTCAGTGAGCTCTGACGGCATGGAGTTCTTCTCCATTCATCCTCAGTGATCTTTCCTGAGTACTCATGGGCTTTAGATGTTTTCAATGGGCCTCACAGGTCTAGGGCACCTCAAATGTTAGGTAACAGCTTTGCAAATTTAACACGACATGAATTAATGTGATCTTCCTGTTAGTGTAATGATGAATGATTGAATGTACATTTATATGGAATTGATGCTCATAGTACAGACTATGGGATGTCTCAAAGCCCATGAGCTGTGGTTTCAGTCAGCCGACCCAGGAGAGCTGTTGCTGTCAGTCAGCCTGGTTTAAGGCTGAAGACCAGGGTACCCAGGGAAGAAAAAGAGCTCTGTACTAGCTCTAAAGTCTAGTGCACAAGCAGGAATAGGTTAATTTTCCCGTCAACTGTTTCACTCAGGACCTTAGTAGAGTGAAGGGTGCCCATCCTCATTGGGGCAAACAATCTTCTTTTTTGAGCCACCATTTCAAAGGTAAGATCACCTGTAAATACGTTTGGGCAGACCCATGAATCACTATCAGCGAAATGTTTGGGCACCTTGTGATCTAGTCAAACCAACACAAAACCAACCATCATGACAGAGCTCTTTAAGGGAAGAATTCCAAGGCAGACACAACACACACCTGCCCAATACATGTAGATAGAGGTGAACCAATGACTTTAGACTCATTGTGGTGGATGCTTTCTTAGATACCTACATGTTGAATGTCAGTTGAAGAGGAAGCTCCCTGACAGAGATGAAGCAAAACCTTAGTTAACTTTCTTGTGCCCTGTGCCTGCAGAACCTGTGGGCCCTGAGCACCCCCTGGTGTTTAAAGACACACCTGCAAGGAGGCTTGTGCCTGGGCTCACAGGAACTTCCCCTCTCTATGTCTTTCATACAATAATAACAGGGTGGAGTCCTCAGCTCTCAGGCTGTTCCTGTGCAGGTAGGCAGTGCTTTGGGAATCATCTCTTGAGATGGCAAATCTGCCTCCCAAAGATGCAGCATATTCTGTTGTGTGACTGTTAACTTTCTTTCTAATAACCCCTATCCACTACAGTCCCTTGCATGTAGTCTGGCAGACCAATTTTATATAGTAGTCACTGAATGTAGACCCAGAACCTTTGCAGGAGAGTCTCAGAGACCCTCCAGTCTGCCTTGGGCCCCCACCTGACTCCACCAACTGCACCTCACATAGGACACCTGAAGACAAGAGATTTTCACTAACAGTGGACACACTCATATACTCACAGAATCCCCCAGTTTCTCTGTAATGTTACCATGTAAAAGCATCAGAGCAAGTGCCCAGCTCAGCTAAAACTCCATGGTGCTTTCTCGGGGTTAACTGTAGCAGTGGATGCAAACTACAGGGACCTGGGGGTTCCACCTGCTCTCCCTGAGTATCAGGGGCATCCACAGATATAGGTCTGCCTGCAGGTGCTGATATCAATTTGCATATGCTCCTCCCCTTAGTGCCAAATAAGGCAGGTCCCTAGGTAACAGTCCCCACTTGACTAGAGGGAAAAGCACACTCATTGTGACAGTGGAAAGGTTTATAAGAGGCTGGTTACTCTGTGTGCTGTAGAGTTGTAACTGTTGTTACTGTATTCTACCATGTGAAAGTTTCATACAATATGATTTACAGTGATATTCCACATTCACAGTGTTTTATGGTTTTCATCTTGGAATAAATGCTGTCTTTGACATTGTCTATGTATAAGCACATGGAGAGAAGTTCCTCCACATCATCAGCCTCCTTGGCTGAGGGCAGCGAGCACTGCAAGGCCTGCTCTCTTCTTCTTTCAAGACAGAATCCTTGCCTATTGTGCCTCTGTGCACCGAAAGTCCATCATTGTGGAGAAAACAAGTGGGGAGAAGGAACAAACACATGTAGAGCATTTTGACTGCCTGGGGCTCCCTTTGGGCTCAGACTCTTCACCCTCCTACCCCAGTGGCTTAAAAAGTATCACATCAAGTGGCTGAGGTGCACACAGCACATTGGTAATTATTCAGGTAAGAGTTACTATAATCCAATGGCACACTGTCATTATTGTATAAAATCTCTGAGATGTTTGAAAAATGGCATGCTTAGTTAAAATACACAAACCTACACAAATGTTCAGTCCCACTTGGCCAATGCTATACCCAAGTTACATTCATGTACACAAATTCAATCATACACTGGACATGTCACTGTTACATAGTGATTGGAAGAACTATGAATTTGCAAATTTTACCTGCAATGAAACCTGTGCCTGGCTCCCTGCTGACATAGTATATACAAAAGGATCCATGTATAATGCCCAGTTCTAATGCTTCCTTCTCATCATGTCTATTTAACAACCTCCCATGACTTTTGACAAGGCAATATTGCCTATAAAAAAAAAACCAGAGAAAAACTGCCCTTGAACATCACTGAAAGGAAACTCATGCAAAACTTTGCTGCAACTATAGCTTCAAAATTCCAGGGAGTCAAACCTGGTGATCGTGTTACACTAAAGTCCTAACCCACTCTGGGTGCTATACAAATTTACCATGGACAGGGTCTTTGGCCAATGACATAAATTTTTCACTGATCAGAAGGCAGGCATTCCAGGAATCAAAACTGGCAAATATGATGTCTTCTAAGAATCCACTTCCTATAAGACTTTTGTTCACTGTAGTCTCAGAAGGTGGATGGGACAAGGGAGCATCCTCAGTCCTTGAATATAAGGTCCCTAATCCCATTCATGAGAGTTCCATGCTAAGAGTGAAGCTTGTCTCAAGGCCCCAACCCATAACACAGC